GGCGGCGGCGGCGGCGCCGAGCATCTGCCCCGCACGCCGGGGAGCGGGGACCGCCAGCGCGCTCCTCCTCCGCGCCCTCCGCCCTCGCTCCACGGGCGCCCCGCGTCCTTCCCTTCCTTCTTTGCCTGCTTTTCTCTCTCTTCCCCCCTCTTCTCGCTTCCCGGCCGTCCGCCTGTCCATTCCCATTCTCCTCTTTCTCCCTCCTTGGCTCCCCCTCCATCGCTCTCCGCGTCGCCCCCTCCCGTCCTCACTGTCACACTCTCGCCGGCTCCCCGGTCCCTTCTCCTAGTCGCCTGCTCCTCGCCTCCCCACGCGGACCCGCGTCTCCCCGAGGAGCCCGGCGGCCGCAGCACCTGGAGTCCGGCCGGCGGCGGCCCGAGCCTGGCCGGCGGAGGCGGCGGGAGCGGAGGGAGCGGCAGCCCCGACCGCAGGCACTGCGGGAGCCCCAGTGGCAGCGGCCGCCACCGAGATGTCCCGGCGAAAGCAGAGCAAACCCCGGCAGATCAAACGTAAGTTTGCGCGCGGGGCTCGGAGTTGGTGGGCTCATTCCCGGGGCGGGGGCGCGCGGCACGTGCATGGGCAAAGGGCTCGGGGAGATTCGTCCCCGGTCCCAGGCCATTTGTCAAAGTTTGCCTGAGCAGCCCCGGGGGACATGCAGATAGTCCAGCGGACAGACGGCCACACCGAGCGCGGGGCCCGGCGGCGGCGGCGGCGAAGGCTCGCCCGCGCGGCTCAGCTTGCGCGCGCCCAGGTCTCGCCTTTCGGCCCCGCGCACTGCGAGTTGCCGCTGCCTCCTCGGCGAGCCCGACCCGGGAGCTCTGCGCCTCCAGACCCTCCTTGAACTGTTGTCATTGTTGTTGTCGCGGTTGGCTTGGCGCTTCCCCTGGGAACCACTTCCTCCCCACCCCCACTAAGCAGAAGGAGAACTTAAGTTGTCAGAAAAGCTGGTCGGGACTTGGGGCGAGGGAGACAACTTCCGCGGGCGGCGGGAGAAAAATAGAAAAAGAAAAAAAAAATATCAGTGTCTGGGTCCCGATCCTGGGCGGTGCCAACGTCACGCCAAACCCGAAGCGAAACAAAAAGTAGGTGTAAAAGTTCGCGCCTCTGCGCGGCGGGTGCGGGCCTGGTGCGGGCAGGGCGCGCCTGGGGACTCTCGCCCGGACGCTATGCGGGACAGGGCTGGAAGTGGACTGTGAACCTATCGAGTATGCGGTCCTCTCTGGGAGGGGCCTCCCAGTCACTGCCCAGCGCGGAAACTGAGAGTTCAAGGCGGCAGGCGCGCGGCGAAACGCGTGGGCCGGCGCCTGAGGGTCCCTCCGGGGTTCCCAGGGCGCCCCCGGGCAAGTGACACCTGCCCAAAACGCACACGCTGACAGACCTCGCCTGGGCCAACTTTTCTTGGCTGTGGGGGTGAAATCCCTTCAACACTGTTTTGTTGGCCTGTGTGACATGTCTTCAACGCTTTGATCGAAAAGAAGAAGGAAAAAAAGCCACCTTCGTTTGTTTTTTTTTCTCTCGCCAGCCCTGTGATGTGTCAGTGTCTTCGTGTTGTTTAGTGTCCATCAGCTACTCTAAAACTAAGTATCCATGTAGATTTTAGATAAGGCTTTGATAATGCCCCCTCTCTCATGGTTATTAACCACATTCACAACCCTCCCCTCCCATGTTTTAAAGAAAAATTGGGTGTAGTTTAAAAACGAGTCTTACCAATCAGTGTGCCCAGCGTGAAATGGGGGCCAGGTTATAAACAATTTGCTACAGCTGAACGTTCAGATCTTTGTATATAGTCCGCGCCTCTCAAGAATCGATTTTCTAGTTTTTAGTGAATTTCTTCTCTTCTACTACCTCAGTTTCCAGTTTCCATAGTTGGGATAAAGCAAGGACTGGACTGGATTTTTGGCTTAAAGCAGTTTTACTCAAAGAATGAAAGAAGACTTTCACTTTTCTTAGCTTCAGTTAATTGTCTTCTACTTTTTAGCTTAATTCTACATTGATTGAGTCTTTATGTTTAAATGTTGCATTTTTATAGGGCCCAAACCCATGTTTGTTACAAAATATGACTATGAACGTTGTTACATGCAAACACTTTTTAGTTCATGGCTGGCATCTAGATTGTTACTAAATAATTAATATTAATTGATTGTATGGCACAAAGACCATCTGATTCTACTTGGGAATACTTTTGTTATCTTCTCAATTAGCTGCATTAAATTTTTTCCCCTTTCTATGTCTACCTCATATAATTGAAGATTAAAGTGTTTGAACTAATTGCTGTTGCTACACTTGTGTTATAGGTCATAAAATATTTTAGTGGCTTATTTGAAAGCTGTGATTTATTAACCATCAAAAATGCTTGAAAGTTCTCTCCCCTGAAAAGGGAACCAGCATTGTTCTACTGTTTGTTCACACAGTGAGCAGTGCCTAAAGCACGCACAGCCATACATAGAGTCTGAATATGCTTGCATTTTCTAACTTTACTGGATTCAGTTTGGGGTCACTGTGATAATCTATGCAACTGTGGATGCCTCTTTATCCCTTTGCACTGTGAACAGAAATGAAAAAATGAAAGGTCTTTGACTTACTGAATTAGAACAGTGCTATCAAATAGGGGTAGGGGAGGGTACTTAAATGTGGTTTGATTAGCTTTGGACATTTTGATGGCAGTCTATTGACATTTGGCTGCTTCGGCCTGTCCAGGCTCAGAACACAGTTCTGCAGATGGAGTTTTGTTTTCCTTGATACTCAAAGTCTTGATGATAGCTCTCTCCCTCCAATTTGAATACTGCATGAGAAGTGTATTTTTTTTTTTTTTTAATGTCATACAATTCTGTAGCTCTTGATGGTCTAGATCAAATACAAGTTTGGAAAATTGTCAGAAAACAAGGCTCCGTAGAACAATAGCATTTCAAGTCACTACTAAAATTGCTGTTTCTCCCCCTTTTTCTTTTCTTTCTTTTTTTTTAAACTTGGAAACCTTCAGAATCTGAAAATAAGGCTTTGGCATTGCTGATAAAACATACCCAATTTAGAGGAACTATGACAAGCAAAAAGTCAGCTCACACAAGAAACTCTGAAGACAGTCAATTTAAAGGACAAAAAGGTTGTTGGGCACAGTTTTTTTTCTTCTCTCCTTTTAGTGCATACAGTTCTCTGCTATCTAAAATTGTGATTTATGCAGTATTTTAATATTTTGCTTATTCTTTCCCCTTGGGTGCTCTCCGGGCAGCGATAAAAAGGCAACACTGAAAGAGCACCATTAATTTGCTCTGATGACTGGCCAGATAAGAGGAGATAATGGGAGAGATAAGCAGAGAAGATATACCATCAGAAACCCGATTATTACCATTAAAATTCCAGCCCAGCAATCTGCAGAAGCCTGATAATTCCTTCTCCGTTTCCACCACTTTGGATGATAAGGCAAAAAATAGTCACTCACTGCTCCTTGATTAGACTGCCCGGATTTCCTGATAATACAGTGATAAATTATGTATTTTGTCCCCCTGTTTTGTCCCAAAATTCAGATTTTTTTTTTTTCCCTATTCCAAGACTGTATTTTTTTCCTGCCCTCCTCTCAGAAGCTTTCTCTCCTAAGCTATTATTGTAATCCTGGTTTGATAAAGAGTGCTGATAGCGCCTGAGGTGTTTGGTGTGGGCGCCCTATCATGCTATCAGCCCATCTCCCCTCACAGCTGCTCCTGTTGTTGTTTTTAGCCTTATCACCTCCTGCCAATATGCCAATAAATTGCCCAGATTGTTCTCCATTCTGGGACTGCCCTACAAAATTTATGACAGAAAGGATGATTTTTTTTTTTAACCAATGCATCTCTTTATGATCAGCAAGCATGTAGTGTGTGCAGTTTTATTGTTATTTTCTTCATAAGGCTCTTGTCTCTAGTAATGTGTTTACTGACTAGTATGGCTCCAACTTGACTCACACTTTAGCTAAGACTGGAACAAAAGCTGGACATCAGATTTTATTTTTTCCCTCCCAAATGGAAGTCATTGTTATATATTCTCCAGTAGTTAATTCTGAGGTGAGGAATGGGAAGAGGAACACATATACTTTTCTCCCTCTTTTGCATAAGAATTAAGAATAAGCGTTCTTCTCAAAGTACCTTTTGCAGAAAACTTTCAGAAGGTTTGATATTTTGAAGCACATAGGACAACTATGGTTAGTCTAGACCAGGTTGAAGTACTTTGTGGAGAAAAAAAGGAAACCTTGACTTAAGAGGCAGAATTTTTTATTTTTTCTTTGAAAAGTGAAGGAGGTATTTGGAATTAATATGCACTTTGAAAACAAACGATTTCGCTTTAGCTATAATTTGGTAAGCAGTACTGTAGAGGGTGGTTTTGTTTGCTTTAGAAGTTGCAGTTAGTTTGTGTTGAATAAATCACCTTTATTTTTTTAAAACAATTTTTTGAGATGTCAAACAATTTCAGGCCATATGAGACCGTAACTTCCACATTTGTGTTTTCATATTCTGGGCTCTATTTTAAAAGTAGATGCTATAAAATATTTTCCTTCCAAAGTGATTATTGTTTAAAAATGAAGTTGAATATTATTAATATTTGCCACTATGGACATATCTAGCTGTTTCATCTGTCTCACCTTTATATGATATTATGTTAAGGACTGACTAGTTACTTTACTCTTTTTTTTTTTAACTGAGTGTGCCTGTATTTGTGTTTTTTTAAAAATATATGATGTTTATGCTATTTTATCATTCAGTCCATGATGATGGGCTTAATCACCTACTGAATTATCATTAGTATTATTTTTAAAGGAAATTTAGAAACTCTGCATACTTGGCATATGTTGACGTCTTTCACAGACACAAGTTGAGATTTCTTGCTTTTCACCTGCTAAATATTTAGATAGCATTTTGCTTTGGAACAAAGGACTCATTTCTTCTGGATTTTAGGGATAATGAAATATAACATTAACAGATAAGTGTCCCTTTGGGTTAATACTATTTCTTATGTTGGGGATTTAATTTTCTGTGTTTTTTTATACTAACAGTCAGAAAGCTTACGGAGAAAAGAAAGTCTGATTTGTCGAACAATTACTTGAATTATTTTGCCATAAAACAGGTAGAATGGTATTCTGTTGTTTATGCAGTAGCTCAAAATGAATTTATTTTCAATTTGAAAAATTTAAATCATATCAATGCAATTTATTTTCTGAAAACATACCTAAAAAATGCATATGAACTAATTTTAAAAACTAGACCGACTTAAAGATGTCCAGTATAGTGATCTTAGTTTTGAAGAGTTAAAGAGAATATAAAAAGTTGTATTTTATATATATATATATACACACACACATTTAGAAGGGCTCATTAATCATAATGTAAGTGTTTTAAGAAAAATAAGTTTAAGTTTAAGAAAACTTATTTTTAAGAAAAATTGCGGCAATGAATGAATGGAAATCCAAAACCTCTGTTAAAAAAAAAAGAAAAATGACTTTAGTAGAGGTAATCATACAGATATTCAGGCATTGATGATTTTA